CTGCATGCAACACTGGCCAGTTCTGCAGCCTCAGAGAGGCTTAGAGCAGCTTCCCCTCTCTGGGTGGAGTCTTCCTTGGATTCACTCTTAATCATAGTGAGTGGGCAGTTGCAGGATACCAGGACACTGGTGATCAGAACCACCTCTCTTGTTCTCCACCCTAGGTGAGGAAGCACCGTGTAGATCCCGCCCACACTGTGGCCAGCTGACTGCCAGAGGGAGTCAGGATGCATGCGGGGACTAAGAGCACATTATAGTCCCTCTCGAGGCAGAAGTCAGGATTGGCCCATGCACAAGTAACTTACTGAACTGGTTTCTATTCCTGAATAACAAATTATTGCAAATGCAGTTGCTTAACGCAATGTATACATGTTATCTCAGGGTGTCTGTGGGTCGGGACTCCAGGCAGGGCTTAGCTGGGTCTTCTGCCCGGGACCTCACAGAGTAGCAATCAGGGATGTGGTCTCATCTGGAGGCCCAGCTGGGGATGAATCCACTGTGAAGCTCTTCTCACTCAGGGTGTGAGCAGAATCTATTCCCTTGCTGTTAGTTCCTTGAGGCCACTGTGGGGCCCTGGTCCCACGTCCCCTGTGTGCCCCCTCACAGTGTGGCAGCTGACTTCAAGGCCTGTAGAAGAACTGCTCAGACCCCAGGGAGGCCTAAAAGGGGTCATCTACTTAGGTCAAGTCCAGAATAATCTTCCTTTTGATCATTTCAACACCAACCAGTTAAGGACCTTAATCACGTTAGCAAAATCCCTTTTGCCATATGGCGTTAGTTGTTCAGTTGTGTCCAACTCTTTATGACCCAGGGACTGTAACCTGCCAGGCTCCTCTGTCTATGGGAATTCTCCAGGCAAGAATACTGGAGTGGGTAGCCATTCCTTCCTCCAGGGGATCTTCCAAACCCAGGGATCGAGCCCTGGTCTCCTGCATTGCACGCAGATTCTTCACCATCTGAGCCACCAGGGAAGCCCCTTTTTCCACATAAGGTAACACAATCAGGGATGTGACAGTCCATCACACATTCAAGGGGAAGGCTTACATAGGGTGTGTACACACACCAAGAGGCAGTCTTAGAATTGGTCTGCCTATGTCCCTGACTCAAAACTTCAAGAGAAAGTTTGCTCTAATCTGTAACAGAAATATAACATGGCTAGGCAGTAGAGTTTTAAATTAAGCTAGATTTTTAACATGAGTATGAAGATAGGATGTTTTCCTTTGTGATATAAAATTGTGGCTTATTATTTGGAAAAGGGGCATATATAATGCCATAAAATTTAATGACAACCATCTCTTCAACCCTATATGGTTCTATGAAAACAGAAGGAAATAAATAATTGGCAGGACTGCTGGACATAGTTGGGGGGGACAGGGGTTGTGCGTTGCACAGCCAGGAGGTGCCATTTCCAGCTCGGTCGATGACACTCCTAGCGGTTATGTAGCCTGTAAATGGGGCCACAGCAGAGGTCCTCAGACCTGCCTCAGGGTCTCCAGGCTGTCTTTGGGCATTAGGAGCATTTACAATTGTAACTCTCTGACTGAGGACAAGCTGCTGTGGGCAACATCGAATGCAAAACCATTTGGGAACAAGCTTGTTTCTGGAACAAGCCCTTCAGCCTCAAAATGGGTGACTTCCCAGACATCACAGAAAGGCTCAAACCCCCTCTCCGAGCTCAACACGTGGGTCTTTCCAGTCCTGCTACACCCAGATACCTACTCAGCTGTCCCCTCCGCAGCCTTCTCTATTGTCTCCTCAGGTTCCCAAAGCAGCCTGTCCTTCCCAAAGCCACCACCTTTGGTTACCTTCTGTCCTCTCTACCCATACGCCCTCCTAGACAGCTGGAGTGGGCCTGGGTTGGGCCATGGAAGGGGCCCAGTACGCTGGCTACCCTGCCGGCTGAATGGGGATGCCCTGCCTTCTGTGAGTGCTCTGGTAAGAGTGGGGCCTGCCTCTCGGGCCCTCCTGGCTGGTGGGCAGTAAAGTGTGTGTACACTGCTCCAGCGGATGCCCCTCACCCAGCCTGGGCATGGGGAACAGCAGCAGCAGCCTGGGGAGGCGAGAGACGATGAGTCCAGATTCGGGCCCAGTGAGCGCAGCATGTCTGTGGACACCTGCCTGGAAGTGACCTTTGGCAGATGGAGCTACTGGTATAAACCTCAGTAGAAATCAGGGCTTGGAGAGAAAACAGAGGTTAAGTCAGAAGGTGGAGGACCCCCCCTCCCAACCAAAGAGGTCACTGAGGTGCTATGGACAGAGTGCTATTTCAAATACCAGCTCACCACTTGGACAAATGAAGTTACTCTGCTACCTCTACTGACTTACCTGTAAATCAAGGGTAAAACTGCCCTCTTCCCAGAGTAAGATGAAAGGAGATAACGTAAGGGGGAGGGTGATAAAGACCCCACAGAAGACATGCTCTTCAGATGGTTTTGAGGGTTACTTCGTGTTGGGGAGTACCCAGTGGAACCCATGACTGAATGGAGAGACACCCCAAGCATGGAGCTCAGAGGGCTGTTATGTCTCTGAAGGCCAGTTGTGGCTGGCACTAAAGTATCCAGACGTTTAAAAACATACTGACACATGCTGCCAGCCACCGATTGGAACACTAACACTCTCCAGAAGCATGAGCTTACTGCGTCTGCGACTGGAAGCTCCGCACCCCTCAAGGGGTTTAGATCATGTCACCTGCTCTAGGAAGCCATCCCCCTCTCCCGCACCTTGTTGTCACTTGTAAGCACATTTGTCCATCTCTCTCCATAAACTGCACCCCCTGAAGGTATCTCCTCACTCCTGCTCAGCATCCAGCAACCGTCTGGTACATAAGAGGGAGATAAAGTTCTGGGTTGCTTTTCCTTTTGAAGAGGAAAGATGGATCCGAATGAGCCTGGTTAGGATTTAATCTGACCAGCAGAGGGCGCAAAAGCCATTGAAGATGCAGAAGAAGAGGCTGAGGCCTCCGCTTGTGCAAGATTTCCTGGAAACACTTTTAGCAAGTAACAGATTTATAATAGCTTTTCTTCTGTCATATTCATTCCTTTTGCCTATTCCTTGCAGGATTTGTCACTTGGCAGCTGCAAAGGCCTGCAAAAGCTCAGGGCTTGGGAAACTCCCAGAAAGTCAAGGCTGCGGCCCCCTGTCCAATCCACATTTCAACAGCTGGAGGGGATTTACTTGGAATTGAGAGGAGATGGGAAAGGATGGTCCTGGAGGGAGCACTCACACCCTTGCTGGCCTTTGACCTTCCAGGGCTGCCAGCCAGGTCCCTGAGCTCTCAGCAGCTGGGGTTCTCCAGAGGAATCAGCCTTTAGAGTCTGTTAGGGCTGCCATTGAAGGGAGTGAGTGTACTGTCACAAGGAGTATGCAAGAAACTGGAAAGTATGGGTGAATAATTCCTACTCTAAAGACTATTGTGGGATTAAATGAGATGATGATTGAAAAGCATCCAACCCAGTGCCCAGGTGTATTAGTATCAGGAAGACTTTAAATTGTTGAGAATTCAGACATGGGAGTAGGAAATGAACTTAATGATTTGTGTTTCTAAGGCTGCAATACTGAAAAAATAATGAGCGCTTTCACAGAAAAAAAACTAAAAATGTTTTTTAAATAAGGTAACCCTTCAGATACAGAGGTGTACATATTTGGGCAATCAGAAGAATTTGCATCTAGACTCATAGACTAGGAATTGGCAACTATGGCCCATTGACTGTTTTTGCATGGCCTGTGAACTGAGAATGTTTTTCACATTTTTAAATAGTTGAAACAAATAGAGATAGAACAAATATTTGTGACATAATATTTTATGAAAATTAGATGAAATTCAAGTTTTGATGTGCATATGGTGTGAGACTGGCACAGAGCCACATTCACTCCTTTATATGTTCCCTATGGCGGCATTCATGCTCAAAGGCAGAATGGAGGCGCTACACCAGATCCATGCAGCCCACAAAGCTTAAAATATTTACTTATCTGGCCTTTTACAAAAAGTTTTTCAACCCTTGATCTAGACTGTTAAAACTGGTAAGAAAGAAGTATTCATCTAGTTCATCCCTTCTTGTTTTTTTATTTGGGGAAACAGGGAATGAGCTTGCATCGCGGGTTCCGTGTGTGCCCTGCACGGCATTTGGACATTTGCAAGCAGGGCCTCTGTGTCCATGCTTGGCACTGAGGAGCGTGTACAAAAAAGTGCCACAAGCACAGGTGTATGTGGACTGGGCACCAAGCTCCTAGACCCTTTATCTCATTCGTCTGACCAGCAGGAGAAGGACTGGACTGGAGCCCAGGAACCAGAGGCTGGGTCTGGCCTGGTGTCTAAGGAACAAGGTGATTGTGGCTTCTCTCTTTCCTCTTTACTCCCCGCCCCCTCCCCTCCCAATACTGCAGAGGAGAAGGGATTTCTGTGTTAGGGAGGACAGATGCAGGTGTGAATTTCCTCTTGAAAGGGGCAATATGTTCTGGCCTCCCATCTGTTGGAAGACATCCTGGAGGAGATGTACCTGCCTTGCCTGGCTGGGGTCACAGATTCAGTCTTTGGCCTCATTCAGCTTTGCCACTTCGGGTGCCCAGCTAGCTGGGAGGAGACCCTACCCCAGGTCCACAACCCACATAAGCCTCCCAGGGCTCTGCAGTGGGGTACCTGGAGGTCCCCTGGTGAGTACGAGGCCCCTCCCTTTATTACCCGGGAGACAGACTGGGATGTGGACTCCTTCTGACCAAAGGAATCAGGGAAAGGGAGAGAGCAGAGAAGCAGAGAAGGAGACCAAGGGAAGGAGCAAGAGCGCAAGAAAAGAGGAAGGAGAAGCGTGCAGAGGAAGCAGGCTAAAGAAGAAAAAGGCCTAACAGATGAAGGGAGGGAAGAGAGAACGAACAGCAAAGAAGGAAGGGAGAAAAAAAAGGAAGAAAAACAAAGCTTGAGCCATTTTCATGAACCTTGCCTGCGCGTCTGTTTGGAGGGACCGGCCTCTGTCGTGGGACCTCTCCTTTTCTGTCCTGTCGCCAAGGCTGGTCTCGCGGCTTCAGGAGGACAGTGGTCCAGGCAAGCGAGCACCTTGTTCTCTCACAGGCCAGAACGGCTGGGAGCCTGGACTGGGGTCCCTGACTGGCACCCGGGCAGGAGTCGGACCCAGCCTCCTGCTCCTTGGCACCGTGTCCCTGGAGCACAGCGCCCTTGTTTCAGAGCACGTTCTCGAAGGACCTGCGAAAATCTGCGGGAGAAGCCGGCAGGAGACCCTGGGCTGCCTACACACGGCGTGGCTATCTGCGCGCAGGACGTGCTGCGCGAATCTTGGGGCCCCAGAGAATGGAGGTACTCGCGGCCACTACTTCCCGGCCCTGTGTGTGGCCTCCAGTGCAGATACTGTTCAAGACTCCACTCGGAACCAAAGTAGTTGCTCAAACCTCCCCAGCTAGGCTGAGATGCCTGGGGGCGAGTGTAGAACGGCTTTGGGGTCTGTGCTGTGCCCAGCAGGAACGCTTTGGGTTTCTGGGGGCTTCAAGAACGGGATCCTCGCTGGGTCAAGGCAATTCCTGCCTACCTATGGATCTAGCCTTTAAAACACATTTCTAAAGAAAATCATACGTTTAAAAAAAATAGTTACAAAACAAAAATAAAGTAACTATTTCCAGAGGAACAAATTTGTAAATTACTTGAAGAGGGAGAATTTGAAGGGGAGAGGGAGGGATGTGTCTCAAGGCGCTGTCCCCCAACGCTCTTTGAGCTCACAGGTGTTTGAAACGATTCAAAACGAAAAGTCCACACGTGACTTGAAATGTTCATAAAGGAAGGCATCATTAGAGATCCGCTTCTCCAAAGAGAAAGTGATCATGCGGTCATCAGGTGGTGTGACCTAGGAGCGTGGAGACGGAGTAATTTTGTAACATCGAGATTTTCTGTTCTGAAGGCAAGGCAGATGTCGCCAGTCTTGAATCCAGACATTATGAGCAAGAATGGGGCACGGGGCCTCAGGACGAACGATGCGTTCCCGGCGGTGCCGGTATGCTCCTCCTGGCATGGTCCACGGAGACAGAGCCGGTGCGGCCGCCGGAGAGCCTCAGCCACCAGCGTTAGCCTGCCCTGTGCCGGGGACAATCACAAGGGACCGCTTTCAAAAGAAGCGCGTAGAGGATGACTTTCGTTCTGGGCGCCGACGCGACCGCGGGCGTCCTTGAGGAGACCCGGCACAAGGGCGAGGGACGCCGGGTTGCCAAGGGTGACAGAGACCGGGAAGTTCCTCGCGGCTCCGTTCCTGGGTCACTTGGGTGTGGGGGGAGGTGTGGCGTCCCCCCCAGCAGCTGCCTGCGGGAGGTTGCGCCCAGGGGTGAGCAGATATGTCCAGAAGAAACCGCTCTTGGTGGCTCCCATCCCCGACTCTGTTTTGCGGAGCAGGACACAAACCCTCGACAACTGGGAAAGGAGACAACGAAAAAGGGCCGGGGTTCAGTGGGTACTGGAGGGGATCTGGGCCCAGAACACTCCGGGTAATGTAGAAGCACCCAGACCAGGTCACAGACCTTGCCCCGGCCTGCGCACAGCCGGACTCAGCTTCCTCATCCGTACAATGGTTCGGGACCCCTTCGCCCCAGCGGCTCCAGAAACCCACCCGGGAGGCGCCAGGGGAGGAGGAGCCCTTAGCTGGAGGAGGGGAAGGTCTGGAACCCGCGTGCCTGGGCTGACGGGTTCGGTTAGAGAGGGAGGTAATCCTCTCTCACGCTGTTGCCGTTTCAGCGCTCGGCTGTGGGGTCTGAGGAGCAGAGCAGCGGCGGGGAGGGGGCCCCACCCGGCGTCCGGGCGGCGCCGAGACCCCCCTGCTGCCCGGAGCCCCTCATCGCCCGGCCCGCGGTGAGGGCGGCTGGCCGCGGGCGCTGAGGTCACCTTTTCCACTGCGCCCGCCGAGAGCGGACGGTTTCCGGGATTTTCGAGGCGGCAGCGGCGGCGGGAGGCCCGGGGTGGAGGAGCTGGGCCCGGCGGTTGCACCCCCGAGGTGGGGGCTACAAGGCTGGGACCGCGCGATAGGCCCTGAGGCCCCTTCGCCCAAGGGGGTTTTCCCTTCTCTGGGCCTCTGTTACCCACCGGGAGGAGGGACCCTTCTCTCTGGGAATCATTTGCCGGCCAATAATGCTGCAATTCCCAAGCAAAAGAGGCCCTGCTGCTTTTTGTGAGTATTTTTTTCGCATAAAAGGGGGTTTATCTGTAGATCTTCTTTGGAATCACAGCCTAGCACAGGCATGCCCAGAGATGGGAGATCAGAGGCCTACCCACCCAGGGAAGGGCCTTGAGGGGTGACAGGAAGCCCTTTGGACCAGCTAGGGTCTCCAATGTTCCCCCAAAGAGCCTTGGGCCTTATTCCTGGTGCCTGCCATGACTCAGACCTCCAGAAGCTAAGCCCAAGTAGCTGAGGGGAAGTGTTCCCCTTCAGCATCTGCGAAATAGGGTGGGGACTGGACTGCACTCGTCTTCTGACTCCCCAAAATCTAGAGGTGAAGCCTCAATCCTGAAAATAACCTCCTACCCCTAAAGCTGACCCAGGACTGGAGGCAAAATGAATTTGGTGAGAGTTGATCAATGTGATTCCCAAGTCCTCAGATCTGGGTCCTGAGCTCCACCAGTCTGGAGGACCTAAGACCCTCAGGGAGGCAACTGCCTAGAGCAGAGATGGTTCAAAGCCAGGTGGCTTCAGTTAAGGACACAAATAGAAGGTAAAGGGATGGAGCGGGGTGGCTGGGTTTAACCCTCACAGTAGGCTACCCATAGGCTGTGCCCTTGGGAAGGTATGGAAAGAAGACGGAGGTGGCTGATGGGCCCTACTAGGTGGAAGGAGGTGAGAGGAAAATGGGCCCCATGTCATATGCACAGGAGCAAATAGAAAACAAACCCTGCTCACTGTGGTCCCTGGGCCAGTACTTTCCTCTTGCTGGGCCTTAGTTTCACTATCTGAGAAAGTAGGTGGTTGTTGGACTGGGTGATACCCAAGCACCTATCTAGGGAGAAGTTCTCTTTGCCTTTGAGCCGGAAGGGACTTCCAGCTGGACTGCCTAGAGCTCTGGGAGACACTGGCTTTTTTCTGTTTGCCTGGTGGCTGCTGGGCCAACTGAGGTGGCACAGACCCACCCTCTGTCTCCCTACCTCTCACTGGGAGAGAGGCCTGTCTTGTGTGGGATATCCTCACTGTTAGTGGGTCCCACACCATCCCCTTCTGAGCAGCCCTGTGACTCATAAGATCACCCACATATGGAGCAGCTGGAGGTCTTTTCAGTCCTGAGGAGGGCTGGGAGGTTCAGAAAGGTGCAGCCCTGGGTGAAGTCACTCAACAGCTAGGGGGAGGGGCAGCTGGGCTCTTAGAGCTTCTGGTAAGACTTCTCTTTGTCCCTGTGGACAAAGAGTCTTGGGCATCTCCTCATCCGCAGGTGCCAGGGCTTCGCCACCAGCAACTAGAGCTTGAGAAGCTCCACCATCTTGAGGTGAGGCAGGGCCATGGGTGTAGTAAGTAGGTCCTGTTTCCCACAGGTGACGACTGAGGTCCCAGGCAGAGCTCACAGGGGAAAGAGAAGAGGCCCAGGACCCCAGCTGAGGGACTGCCAAGGGACAGGAGGAGAAGGGGTAGGCACCCTCCCCAGTCTCCTGGGGACACCCACCCATCTCCGCTGACACACCACCCTCCTTGTCTGGATAAACTATATACTTCTCCCTAATTGATCCTGTGGACCCATGGGAACAGGACCCCCCACTAAGTCCTCACAGCCTCCCTGAAATCAAATATCAGCATCTTCTCTGGACAGGTCAGGAGACTGAGGTCCAGAATGGGGCAGTGAATGACAATGCCAAAGAGACAGACTACGTGGAGAGTTGAGCTTTGGGATTGACTCCCTAACTGGGACTAATATTCCCTTAATGATAAAGAGAGAGACCCACAAAGACTCTGGCCTTCCTCAGTCATATTGGGGCCCTTAAGGCTCAGAGAGGAGGCAGGAGCCAGAGTTCATCTCCAGACTCCCAGGTCCCTCTGTGGCTTCTCATCCAGCTCCACCCAATACCCGTTTTCTCTGTTGCTCCAAAACTGCGAAAAGGCAAATCTGCAGCCTTTCCTTTTCCTGGCATCCACCTCTTGCTCTAACTAGGGGAACCTAACCCACTCCACAGCGTCTAGGATTGTGTGGAGGGGTCCACATATCACTTGGCAATATAAGCAAATTCTGGCTGGAGAAATCTGACTCTCAGGGCGGTTCCGGAGAAATGAGGCGGTGCCTGGGAAACTGAGGCACAGGTAAGATCACTGCCCTGCGAGTTGCCGTCGGCCCACTGCTGCACTCCAGCCCCGCGGGCGGCCCTGCGTCCTGGCATGGAAGCTGAGCAACGCCACCCACTTCCCAGCAAAGCTTTCTATTCCACCACCCCCGCCCAACTCTCCGGGGCTCCCTAACCCCTGCCCAGGCCGCCCGCCTTGCTAGCTGTCCCATCTTTCTTTACTGCCCCCTCTTTCTGTCCTGCTTGCCTCTGTGCTCTCTGGCACGTCACGGCCCGCTGACTCCCGCGCCTCTGCCGGTCGCTCTCTGCGCACGTCTCGGCGTCCCTGGCATCCTCACGTCACCGTCTCGCATCTTGTGTGGCCCTCGGTGTCTCGCTCTAGACCCTCTCTCACCTCTCTCTCTCTCTCTCTCGATCTCCCATCCCTGGTGTTCCTGTGTCCCGAGCTCTCCGGCTCGATCCTTTCTGGGCGTGCGCTCCGCTGGGTCTCCCTCTGTCTGGGTCGGTCTGCCCCTCTCGCGGCCCCCTCCCTCCTGCCACCCTCCCATCTCTGGCCCTCCCTCGGGCTCGGCCTGGGGGGTGAGGGGCGGTGTCGCGGGGCGGGGCGAGGCGGCCGGGCGGGGCGGGGCGGGGCGGTGACGCGGGGCCGACCGGGCTAGAGGCGCGGCAGAGCGGGGCGGGGGCGCAGTCTCGGGTCCGACCAGCCGAGCCCCGCGCGCCCCGCCCGCGCCCTGTGCCTCCGCCCGGCTGGCCGGCGGGGGAGGGGGCATGAGCCGGCGCCCGCGCGCCGCCGGGAGCTGCGGGCCGGCCTAGACCCCGCGCGGGCCCCGCGCCCCAGCCGCTGACGCCGCCTAGCTCCGGGAGCCGCGATGCAGCGGCCGGGGGAGCCGGGCGCAGCGCGCTTCGGGCCGCCCGAGGGCTGCGCCGACCACCGGCCGCACCGCTACCGCAGCTTCATGATCGAGGAAATCCTCACTGAGCCTCCGGGGCCCAAGGGCGCCGCTCCCGCCGCCGCCGCCGCCGCCGCGGGCGAGCTGCTCAAGTTCGGCGTGCAGGCGCTACTGGCGGCGCGGCCCTTCCACAGCCACCTGGGTACGTGCGGGTCCGGGGGCCGCGGGGAGCTGGCCGGGCTCGGCGGGAGGAAGCGAGCCGCGGCCTCTGCGGGACGCAGCTCCGGGCACGCAGGCCCCGGGCCGTTCCTTCGGCGCGTTCCAGGCAGGGAAGCAAAAGGGGCAGGCGCCGGGCCGCGCAGAAACCAGGCCTCGTGCCCGTGGGCCAGGCCAGCCGGGAGAGCATTCGCTCTCTTCTTCACTGCGACCCTGTGGTTTCCAGCCCCAAGGAGTCCAGCCCGGGGACCCGAGCCCGCATCCCCATCGCGGGCGCTGGACCAGACTGCGAATGTCAGACTTCGGGTCAAAGCGACCTCAGGCCGCGGGCGCCTGGGCCTTCGCCACAGGACTTGGGAGTGGCCGTTGCTGCCCAAGCCGGGAAAGCTGGACCTTGACGGAAGAGGCCCGTGTGTCTGAGTGCTGTGCTGGGGGCTGACGCTGGCCGGAGCCAGTCCAGAGCCTCCCGGAGTCCAGGGTCTCAGGCTGGCGAGGAACCCGCCTGTGCTGTAGCGTAGACCCCCTTGGGCCTTGCCTGAGGACAAGAGGCTTGTCTCTGAGCTGCTGCCGGACTAGCCCTTAGGCTCTGGATCCGCGGCACCTTGGCCGAGCCTGAACCAGCAACTCAGACTTTTTCTGCTCCTTTCAGTTCTCTTCTCTTCTTTCCTTGTCCGGGCCCTGCCTTGACCTGCCCTCTTCACTGCATCCCCTCTTCTGACCTTTCCCTATCTCTCTCCAGCCTTCCTCTCAGTGGGGTGGGTCTGCCCTTCCTCTCACCGTCCCCCAAGTATCCCTTCTCCCCTCCCGCTGCCTCCTCCCTTTCACCCGCTCATCTTGCTGGGCCCTTCCTGACTCCAGCGGGCCTAACACCGCCGGTAGTGAGATGCTATCCGGCAGGGAGCCCTCCTACCTTCTAGCAGGACTTCAGCCCAGGGCACTGACATCCTCTATACCCAGTGATCCTCCAGCCGGTGATCCGCCTGCCTGAGGGGCAGCGGGACCAGTTGGTTCGTTTTGAGTTCCATTTCTGCTGTCTTTTGCCTCCAGCTGCGCTGTTAATAATTCGTTTGAAGCGGGCAAAAAATAAAAAAATCATTTAGGACTAATGAAAATTGAAATGTCTTCACGGGGAAGAGTCTAAAGAGAGAAAACAGGAAGAACAAATTTCCCACTTCTTGGGGGTGCTTTGGAATTTCCGGGAAGCTCCCAACTTCACCCTCACTGACTATCCCTCGGGGTGGCTGTTTTGCCCTGCATAGACCAGCAGACTGCTTACTCCATTGAAACTCTCCCCCGCCACCCCACAATGCAGCAAAGCCGATTTTGGTGGGGGCAAATGTTCTTCCTAACTGTGCCGTTTTTTTCTTGGCTTCCCTTTTCTGTCACACATATACTCCATTGGTTTGGGAACTTCGACCTTGTTCATTGGGAATCCTGAAATGTCAGGGCAGTGGGGCCTGGGGAACGCCGGGCAGAGCCCGGGTGGGGGAGGTCCCCCTCCCAGACTGGGAACCCCGGCGTCGAGGAGGGTCGGCCTAGCACAGATTTCTCACTTCCCGGCCAGCACGAAGGTTTTGTGCCGGGGACACTGGCTGAGGGCCAGCTGTCGGCAGGGGCGCACGGTGCGAGGATCTCCAAGAGGAGGAGCGCGGCTCGAGCTCACCCGGCTCCCCACTCTCTCCCCCGCAGCCGTGCTGAAGGCCGAGCAGGCGGCGGTGTTTAAGTTCCCGCTGGCGCCGCTCGGCTGCTCCGGACTGGGCTCGGCGCTGCTGGCCGCGGGGCCTGGGCTCCCCGGCGCGGCGGGCGCTCCGCACCTGCCGCTGGAGCTGCAGCTCCGCGGGAAGCTGGAGGCGCCAGGCGCTGGGGAGCCGGGCACAAAGGCCAAGAAAGGGCGTCGGAGCCGCACGGTGTTCACCGAGCTGCAGCTGATGGGCCTAGAGAAACGCTTTGAGAAGCAGAAGTACCTCTCCACGCCGGACAGGTAGCGCGGGGCCAGGCTGGGCCCAGCGGGTAGTGGGAGGGAGGCTGCATGCCCTGCTGAGGGTGCACCCCGCTCTTTCCAGAATAGATCTCGCCGAGTCCCTGGGTCTGAGCCAGTTGCAGGTTAAGACGTGGTACCAGAATCGAAGGATGAAGTGGAAGAAAATAGTAAGTGTTTTCGCGGTTTTCTGTGCTATTTGCCACCACGCCCCTGCAGCCTTCGAGAGTTACTCTCCTCTCCACCGTGGAGACTTGCGCCCAATCCTCCAGATTCCTTCCGTCCTGGTGCCCAGAGGGACCCTCCCTGCTCTGTCCATCTGGGTGCCCTAGCCCAGCTTCCTTCCGGTGCCCTGGTCCAGTTCCTTTCGTGCTTCTTGAGCTCTCAGTGTTCCTGGAAGACTTGAACCCCTCCGCCCGAAAAGCTCTGGTCGTTTTGCCCCAGCAGCGCTCGGACAAATGGCCACCATTTCCCTGGGTCTAGGCGCGGCCTCCAGTGACCTCGTTGGGCTCTCCAGGTCCTGTCTGCCTCTCCAGGGCGCCGGGATCCCCGGGCATATCCCAGTTCACCCAGTGCCCCTGGTCTCCCTCGCAGGTGCTACAGGGCGGCGGCCTGGAGTCTCCCACCAAGCCCAAGGGGAGGCCCAAGAAGAACTCCATCCCCACGAGCGAACAGCTGACGGAGCAGGAGCGCGCCAAGGAGGCGGAGAAGACGGCGGAGGCGCCAGGCGAGGCCAGCGACCGGAGCCACGAGGACTGAGCGCGGCAGAAGGTGCGGGCCCAGGGAACCCCAGCGCAGTCAGCGGCTCCCAGAATCCGCCGAAAGCCGCGAGTCGGCCTGCTGCGTCCACGCCGTTTGCTTTCTAAACTTTTTATTATTACCTTGAATGCGGACAGTTAGGGGCCAAACAAGGACAGACCCTGAAGCCAAACCGAGGCCCCAGTGCGCTCGCGGGCCCCAGCCTGGAAACTCACATCAGACGCGGCAGAAGGTCGCCTCCGCTCGGAGCTCCGCGGCGCCAGGCGCTCCACGCGCGTTCACGCCCCGCTCCTCTCCTGCACCCCCCACTCGCCTCTGGCCGGCCTCCGGGCCCAGACGCCTCCAGGCACACACGCGCTTCCACGCGTCGGGGACCCCGCGGCCCGGCGCAGGCCACCACGGCCGGAGATGGCGCCCAGACAAACCGACGTCGCTGGGGCCCCTACCCCTCTCTTACGAAGACGGTAATTTTTTTTTCAATAAAATATTTTATGACACAGCGGGACTTGATGAGGGAGTTTCTGAATCCGCAAGGTTGGAGGGGGACGCGGCGAGGTAAGAGGGACACACGCAGTGGCTTCTGAAACATCCTTGCCCCGGGATTCCGTGGACACGAGCCTTAACCAGCTCCACCCGGCCGGGGCCGGCACGCAGGCGGCTCGGTTGCTGCAGGATCCTAGGAATCGCTTCTAGTTTGGGCATGAGAGGCCAGTCCGAACTTGCTCCCTTCCTTCTCAGCCCAGGGCGCTGTGGATGGCAGCAATCAGGCTACACAGCGGTCGCCAACAGGAGCGGGAGCCCCAGGCCACCGCGCTCTTACTCGGCAAGTTGCCCCGGGCTGAAAGCTTCCCGGATTGTTGGTTCGGTCTCAGGGACTAACTGTGAGGTCCTTGAGATTGTTCTGGCCAGCCCTTCCTAAGGCTGACGGGAAACCTAGGACTCACCTCGAGGCCGGCCACCATCTGCAGCCCTTGCCTGCAATTGCATCCGGCTCCCGGAGTTTTCACGTTTTCTACAGTATACACGGGGCGAAGGCACCTGGGAATTGAGTGGGGGTACCTGAGGCAGAGGACAGAGGACCCCAAACTGCTCACAGTCTTGCAGGGTGCCCCTTTCCAAGGGCATGGCCTGGTGGCACCTGCTTGCGGCCCCCCCAGCCAGCCCCTTTCACTGGGGAAGGTTTCCACTTGCTCCTCCCTGACCTAAGCTGGGCTTCTAGCTCCCCAGTTGGTTCCTGTTTGTGTGCTTTCTAGGACTACCACCAGGCTATGGAGATGGGGAAATGGGCACACCACTGGTTAAAGCTAGGGGACAGATGGAAACTTGGCCCTGCAGAGTTCCAAACAGGAACAAGATTTGAAACCAGGTCCTTGGCAGGTGCAAAGAGAGGGGGAAAGAGTCAGGAATACTCATTATACTGAGATGCAGGCTTTGCATTTCAGAATGTGAAAACTGTTACGGCTTTCACCTGCAGTGGCTGATAGCTTCCTTTTCAAATCGGCTCCTTGATTGCCCTTTCCTGAAACTTGCACTTGGACTTCTGGTACCCAAGCATCACTGGCCTTGGTTTGAGTCTGGGAGGATGGAAAAAGAGGATGTTTTCTGAGGTTGGCAGGCAATTCTCTGCAAGCCCCAGCCTTGCCAAGTCTTTGGGAAATCAGCTCCCTTTCTAGGCTCTTAACCTCGAAAACAGCTCCCAGACTACTCACTTGCCACTGTCCCCTGAGGGGCCTGAGAAGACCTGCAGGCAGGAGGGAAGAAATAGACCATCAGCGTATGACTGCAACTCCTAATCTCTTCCATCCCTTAGGGTTACCTACAGGTCTGCTCAGTGTAGTGGTCCTGCCAAAACCTTCCTACAGCAGGCCCAGGCTAGCCAAATCAGGTACACGACTGAGTTTAATTCTCTCCACCTCAAAGTGGGGCAGGAGTGGGAGTGAAAATTCAAGAAGTTCTGTCCCTTCTTGGCCTGGGAGAGATTTCAGCACAGTTTTTGTCAACTATGCCGTGTTGCTGAAGACGAGTGAAAGAGAGATGAGGCATACCGACCTGCACTCCTCCAGTCCATTCTGGGACCTCGTTCTGGGTCCTCTGGGTCCTCAGGTTTCATTAAATGTGCGGAATGCAACCTCCGGGCGGATTGCCTTGTGGTTCTTTGGTGCTTCCCCAAGGCAGCCCCCTCATTGGACTGGAGGAAAGAGCCTTAAAGGACCAGGGCTCTAAGAGGGAGGGAGGGCGTCTGGGGAAATCGGCTCCAGAGCACAAGGGCCCCAATATTCCAGTAAGTACAGCTCCTCCAGGCACAGATGGGGAACCTGACGCGGGCATTGCTGTCACGAGGTCACCAGCCGGTCAGTGGGGGAGCCGGGCCCCTGTAGAAGGGGTCCAAATTCCAGTGCCGGCGGGGGTGGGAGGGGTTTCTGTCACTGCCTGCGCCTTTGTGCTCCTTGGCGGACAGGAAGCGGGGCGACCGCAGTAGATCGAGACCTGGAGGCCCCGAGAGAGGACCGGGCTGCTAACCGACCGCGTTCCGGCACCTCGGCGTTCCTGACTTGGGCAATTCCTATGAGACCCGATGGAAGCTCAGGCTCGCTCCAGGAAAAAGCGAAGAAGCGGAGGCAGATCTGCAGCCCATCCTCAGACTTACGGTCAAGGACCGCCGCCCGCAGAAGTAGGGCTCTAAATAAAGGGCCGCACCGTATCTCTGACGGCGAGGCGGTCGCCCAGCCTCAGAGCCACCCCGCCCCGGCCACCTGGGCCACCCAGCGCGGAAACCCTCTTCCTGCCTGGCAGCAACCGCTCGCTCCCAGACCCGAGCCTTGGGGAAGGAACGATCTTCTCGCTTCCCAGCGCCGCACAAATCTCATCTCCATCCCAAGGTTCTGGAAAACAAAACCCGGAGACCACACCAAAGCGCAAAAGAGGTCGCGCGGCTGTGCCTCCGGAGCCCCGGGCCCTCAGCCAGGGCAGGAGCGGGCTCGGGCGTCTCGAGATCCCAGACGAGGGCCCAGATTGGGGGTGGAGGCCCTTTGGTGGCCAGGACTCCGGCTCGTTTGGGAGGGCGCGCGGCTTGGCGCAAGGACTGAGCGGCACCCGGGATTAGCTCGGCGGCAGCGCCCGGAGGCGAGCACGAAGTTTGCGCGTCTGGGCTTTGTGAGGTGGGGGTAGGTAGGGGCCTAGACAGGAAGGGAGACTATGGGCTCAGTTTGGTTGAAGGCCTGGCCGGGGATGGGGGTTATGACCCCGATCCTCAGCCAGTCATTCTCCTAGTCGGCGGAAGCGGGAGCCTAGCTCTGTGTAGCGCTCCGCTCAGGCCAGGATCGCAGGAAGCGTTCGAAAAGAAATGGGCCTGTCGCGGCCAGCCTGGGGTTCGCCGCAACTTTCGAAGCTTCCGACTAGGTGCGTGTTTTCGGCGAAGCCGGCACCACTAGGATATGACAGCGCAGCCGAGCGGGGGCTCCCCATTCCTCCTCCTGTCGCCTCTTTGTCAAAAATAGAGTTTATTCGGGTTTACTCCGTTTCCCTGGAACACGGTCCTCAGGACCACATTAACCAGGCCAGGTGAGAGGTTTGCCTCTCCTGGAGCCGGAAGTTTCTCTCTTACTGCACCTAAGGGGGAACCAGGATCCAGAGTGGTGCGGGCTCAACCTGGAGTGACCGATACTGCCGGGGGACATTTCCCGAGGCCCCGAACTGGAGTAGAAACCAGGCCTCTCCTCCGTTTTTAGTTGCCCACTGCCTGATTTCCTTTCTACACTCAAGGGGAACCCCTGCCCCAGAAGTTACACCTCTGATCCCATGCCGAGTTCCCATGTCCACAGAGGGGACCAGCTGACCCCTTGAGTCTCTGCCCCTCAAGTCCTCTTCAGGCCCAGAGGGGCTGCAGTCAGAGGTCCAGCGGGCTCCCTCCAGCTCAATCTGGCCCCGGACTTTCTGAGCTGAAAATAAATGTCTCCAAAACCACTTTCCCAGCCCCACTTTAAGGGGAAGGAAGGAAGCCAGGACTCACTCCTCATTTGTGGGCAGGGCAGAAAGGTGACAACAGCAACAGTGTCAGGCATCTGAGTCAGCCTGGCTCAAGGCCAAGTTTTTCACTGGCCCTGGTCCCTGGACCACTCCACACTCATGGTGCAGCAGAAGGCAGGTCCTCCCTGACTTTGCAGGGGCCTCTCCATTTTGTGACTTCAGATGTTTCCTTTGTGTTAGTTCTCATACTGTATTATGCTCATCTTATTTACTTTAAGACAGTGTCTTCCCGTTTCTGAAATCTGGCTTCATGTGACAGTTGGGGTGGAAAGCCGTGTGGGCCCTGTGTCCGCAAAGATGTGACTGTCCCTAAGGAGGTGTCCTTGGCTGGACAGTGGAGGCCCCTCACCTCTCAGGCACCAACTCTTGATGCAGAAAGCCACAAAGCCTGGAGGGAGGAAGGAATCTTCCTTAAGGTGCAGGAAGACACAGGGCAATAGCATAGCAGGAACTCAGAGACACTCACACACCAGTCTGAGGCCAAGTGCGACAGGACTGTAGGCTGCTGGGGGGTGGGGGGGGGCGGTGACCAATTCAAAGATGCCTCTGACCTTGGAGAAGTTTTAGGAATGCTCAATCCATTGATTTCCCTGGTTGTTTCCTTTTCATGTAAACTCAGTAGTGATCTGTGATATAAATTTTTGTCTTAATAAGCCCAAAAGAGATCCTTGAGTAAGTACAAGATAAAAATTCTGGGCGCTAAAAAACCACTGGGTTATGTCTTCATTGGCAGTGTCTTAACATTTTTCTTTCTTGGTGTTTCAGGAAATAATGGTGTGAGACATCAGTGCTATCAAGGACTCTCTGATATTAATCAAGCTCTTTCTTGGGCACTTCATTCATTTAACTAGCAGTTGCAGAATGTATTGGGGTTCTCAGCACTGGGACACAGGCTATTGCCCCTTCACTGATCCAGTTACAGTCCAGTAAAATAGGGACCCTACTCCCATTTTGCAGAGGAAAATACTGCTCAG